CCTTTAGTACAAAAAATAAGATATAGATGAATGAATAGAACACAATGAATAACTGAACAAATAATGAAATAGGAAAAATACATTAGTCATCCTGTGAAAGTAAAACTGTCAAAATCAGCTGATAAGAAATGACAGTTTTAAGTTTCTTTATAGATATGATTATAAGCATAATGGAGTAATAGATACTTGTGGTATTGCAATTTGTTAGTGACATATAGTGATTTTTATTATTTGGTTGGCATTGTTGCTATTAATGACTTCAGCCGCTTTATCCAGTCCACAAAATGTTGAAGTTGTGTGTTATTGGGTATGAAATTGAGAGGAAAATGGATATTATAAAGCTAGCTTTAAAAGCTATATATTTTCTGTTTATTTTTCATACTTTTATTTTAGTGTGTTGTTCAGTTGATTATGGTAATTACTCGTAAAAAGATAAGCTTGACACAGTGATCTCAGTATTTCGTGCTCTGACAAAGGTTTTCAAATACCTGTTATGTATATTTAAGCAAGATAGAACTTTGACTCGCTCCCTGTTTGATGATAGATCAGTATGCAAGCTGACAAGTTCTCGTCAAAATATGGTAGAGGTATGTATGCCCTTTGCCAGAAAATCAGAGCTTATGGCATCGCTGGACAGAGTCGTGCGAGCATAGATTTTCCGACTTTGAAATATAATTATGGCCACACATTTTATTTTTTTGTTGGTTGTATTTTGTTTTATATGGCCATGACCTTGTGACTTCTGTCACTTCATACCATCCTGTTCTGAACAAATACCATAATTATCTATTCATTTTCTAAAACTTTTGATTAAAGGTTTTTAAGATACATTTTGAAAGTCACTGCAGGTTTCCTTTGACATTTACCTGCTTTTAAGTGAAATTCTGTGATATAGCTTTTGGGAAATGATTCATTATGATGGATATTGAAATTAACAGAAATAGTATGATTTTTGAGTTTATAGACAAGATCTTCATAAATGATCTGTATAAGAAATCTTTAACAGCAGTCTTCCAGTATCAAAGATTTAAACCAGGGATTAATCTTTATGGTAGGGACACACTAAGCTAGGATAAAGTGAAACTGATATTATTATAGAGGACAAAACATTGCAATTATTGGTTCAAGAAACAGTCTGCAGACACAAACGGAAAACAAAAATAAAAGAAGATCATCTCATTCCGCTCAATGCTTCCGAGTGTGAGCTTTCTCTTTCCGTGTATACTGAGGTTAAGAAAAGTTTGCCGTTGGATTGTTGCCCCCATCAACCACTCCCTGCTCTAACACCAACTCATGGTAACTCGAATTGTTGAAAAAATTGTGACATGGAGTTAGGGACTTCATCACTGGCAAGTGTGTCCATCTAGTAAAGAATTACCAAAACCAAGTGTTCTATGAAAGAAAATGGTTTTATATTTATGAAGAGACATAACTTTGCACTTGAATTATTTACTGATTGATTTATAAGTAACTAATAAGTGCTAGAAACTATTAAGAATTACCAAAAAACAAATCCATTTAGTATTGATTTATGAGTGGTTAATAAGTACAAAGAACTTCATCTTAAGAAAACAAAACTTGAAATTTCAGGTAGCCTAGGTAACGAAGCTGTCATAGTAACCAAAGATGATGATGTCTATGCCCTTGGGTTCAATGGCTCAGGATGTCTTGGGGTCGGAGATCAGAACAGCACCATGGAACCTCGTAAAATTGAACCTCTGTGCCAGAAAAAAGTCAAAGGTAAGTGATTGGTTGAATCTTTTTATGGGATTGTACTAATTTTTTCCATTGTTTAATTCTTATTATTAATTTTTTTTTTCTCTTTATTTTTTCTTGCTTTTGTTTTGTGTTATCTTTTCTTGCTTTTCTTTTCTGTTTTTTTTCTCTCTCTCTCTTCTTTCCTTTTCTTTTCTTTTCTATATTTTTTATTCAATATTCTTTTCCTCCTTTTCTCTTCTTTTCCATCCTTTTCTTTTTCTTCTTTTATCTCTCATTTCTTTTCCATTTCTTTTTTTCTAAATCTAAGAAGTAAAATATCCAATAGTAACTACCTTTCTGATAGATGTTCTTGAACTGCATGGTTTTTGAGGGTTGGTTATCTTCTCTATAACTATTGTATTGTTTTGTGTCTCTGGATGCAGTTTTGTTGTAGCTGATTATTATTTTGTTCATCCACACGGAAAATTTAGATTCCTAGCACTGTTTTTGATTATAAGTATTACAGATAACAAATTTGATGATTACAGGAGTAGCATATGGCAGTGGACCACACGTTCTAGCATACACCGAGAGTGGAGAGCTCTACTCATGGGGCCACAATGGCTATTGCCAGTTAGGCAATGGCTCCACCAACCAGGGGCTCACACCGTACCTCGTTACAACACACCTTCACAATAAGAGGGTCACGCGGATTGCTGCTGGGTCACACCACTCACTTGCTCTCACAGAGGAAGGAGAGGTTTGTAGAATGTTGAATTATGGGAATAAAGGGGTTTGTATTTTGCACTTCATTATATGTTGTTACATGAATTGTGGGAAGGCGGAAGTTTATATCTTACAGAAATACTCAGACATGCAGAGTGTTTTGTGTGTGTGTGTATGTGTGTTTGTATAGGGTGATATATATGTATTTGTATATGGATGTATGGTTGGATATAGGTATGCATATATGATATTAAATATTAAAGCAATTTTTTCTCACTTTGAATAAATTCTTGTTTATTCGTTGTTATGAAAGGTACTAGCCTGGGGTCAGAATAACTGCGGCCAGGTTGGCTCTGGGACGACAACTAACCAGCCCACACCAAGGAAAGTGATAGCAAGCATAGGAGGCAGAAGGGTTGTGGACATTGCTTGCGGCCAAACTTCCTCTATGGCTGTGATGGACAACGGGGAGGTACGTAAGCACTTATAAGTTAGTCACGGATCAAGGAAAGTAATAGATAGGGAACTAAAACAGATAATGATGGCGAGATTGATATTGCCTTCACAAAATTGTTTTTGAATCAAAGAAATTTGTTTAATATGTTTTATTATACAATTTTCTGACAGGTTTATGGATGGGGTCTGAACAGTAATGGACAGTTAGGTCTTGGCAACAATGTGAACCAACATTAAATTGT